TGTCACGAAGCGAAGCGGGAAGCCGCCTCGCCTTGCCGTAGCTATTTGTTTTGTCACGACGCTAAACCCAGTTTCATGGCTTTTTATCGTTATGAAAATTGTCGTTCTTGCAATAGGTCTATAAGATCTAAGTTCGAAGGAACGTTCTTCTCGAAGGTTGGAATCGGATGTGGTCATGACAAATCAAATCTTATCAAGAACGAGTGATTATGCCAGCTCGCCACCACTCCATCTCCACTTCCCTAGAATCCCTTCCCACCACCCTCCTCATCATCCCCTCATACTTCATAGCAAAATATCTGTTGCACGTCGCGATTTCAACAATTGTCAACGCTGTCTTAAAAATGATGCAATAGTGACAAATTATTCTATTTTAGGTCATAGCGGTGTGGTGTGTGTGGTGACAAAACGAGAAGGTGACATATCACTGCACCTTCCTACGTTATGTCAGCCAGCGTCAAAGTCTGCATTCACTTGCTTTTTTGAGAATCTGGGGAGTTTTGTTGCATGTCGAGATTTGGGGAATTGTCATCGTAAGGTGGTTTGGGTGTGTAGAGTCAAGGATTGGTAATGGTGGGGTGTCGCGTGGTGATGGGTTGTCTAGGTGGCACTCACCTGCAGTGTTTGTGCAGCGCCTTCCGGGTTTGTGATCTCTAGAAAATGATTTAGGATTTGTTGCAATTCGCGATTCCAATAATTGACATGGTTCTGTGGCAAGCTACGAGATGGTTGAGGATGGCGATTTTCAAATATGCTTGAGGGGGTTTGGATCTCACCATGGCTTGGTTATGTGGCACTCACTAGCACTCACTTCTTTGCCTTGTTATGAATAATGTATGGACTCTTATTCCAACCTTACATACTAAACTTTTGGGTGGAGATTTGGCATTGATGATTAGATTATTCTAGTTTGGAATGTGTGAAGTTGTTTGTGTGAACCTTATAAAATAGCGGCCTCGCTCCCATATACCAAATCTCGAAGGTTTTTATAGAACTTGTCTTCTGTTGGCTCGGAAATAGTCAGGTTCAAGATGAGTTGTGCTGTAAGTGCTCAACCACCAGTTTTATTGACGAGGTAAGAAAGTAGAAATTAAAGAGGGAAGATACTGGACTTTATACGGAATCATCGGTAGCGACTAATAGTAGTCACCGTCACGAATTTGACGAGAGGACCAGAGAGTCAGCGTCAAACAATTGATTGGGCTCAAGGGCAGATGTTGTTGAATATTACAATCTAGATATCATTTCCCAATTAAACCATTATACTCAAGCGAAGAGTCATGGGGCTCTTCTCTGGAAGACGGCGATTCTCATTTTCGCTTATGAAAGTCAACAAAACCTGACAAAGAAACTTCACATGCTAGCAATATTTCTCCCAAGACCACGAAACGAATTCCAAAAAATCAAGATAACAAGAAAACATAATTCCGCAACCACGAGTCGAACCTGTGTGCTCCCCGTGCCATTTTAAGAGACCTCTGTCACAGATACGACCAGGGAGGTCATTTCTGGTAGATCATGAAAGACAATCAATTCGTTTCGAAGAATTAGAGGGTTCAAAGTGAGGATTGGCGCAGGTGGGGATACAGAAGGTCATTTCGGAGGCTACCCTTCTTAACCACTTAGGTTGTGAACAATTTTAGGAAGGCGCGTACCGATATCGTCCCCAGAAGAGCAGGCGCCAAGACATATCAACTCACTTACCCACATCTCTTGTCTTGCAAATTTTATCTTGCCTTTCAACGACCTATACTATTTGTTGCACGTCGCAAAACATTAGACAAGAACTTAAAATGAATAATGGGTACCTAGTTCTGTTGCACTTCGCTATTTAGGCTGGTTGTTCGGGATGGTCAAAGCTGAAAAGGGATGACATGAGATACAACCGAGATATTTTTGGCAGCTGAATATGGCAAGTGCGAGAGGTAAAATGTTAAGAGGACAGAAAAACTTGATGAGACTGATCTATAAAAGTTGTTTTCCAATAGCTTTTAATAGGGTGATTACACAGCCTTGCTGAGAGATGCTTCTACCTGTAGCTGCCACACGCATATTTAAACCACATGCAGTTCATCCCTGAACCTCGAGTGACCAATTTCTAAACCTCGTTACTCAAAGCCAACATACGTTTTAGCTGCTAGTCATTGAGAAAGTTCCCACACAGCCACACTTTCTTCGCATCACAGCAAGTATCCTTAACCCATGAGTGACGAACTGCTACCACCTCCGCCACAGACGGAGACCATACCAGTATTTGACCATCTCTGCGAGACATGTCTTTCGGTCTTCAACTTGGAAGTAGTTCAACTCCTTATCAACAAACCTAATGAAACCCTCTTGATAAGGCCACACATGCTGTGCGAAGAACTTCCTGCCTCTTCAAATATACTTATCGCCGAGAAACCATAATCGAAAGGGTTGATTCAGGTGAGAATAGTCCATGGATTAGTTATTCTTTCAAATACTTTCGCGGGAAGGACGCGTTTCTCGGGGACTTTGCAAAGCAAAATGTAGAAATTTACATACGAAGTCCACCTCTGTGGGAAGAATTAACGATGCTTGATATTTCAAGCAATGGTATACACCACCTGATGGGTCAAGTATATCTTTGTAATATTGTAATAATATCAAATTTGTTCTCATATGGTCAATGCACAAAGCTGATGTATGTCTTAGACCCCACCTCAAGTAGAAAATCTGAAGTCCCGCTGTGCAGCGCCACCTAAATGTCTTACTGAGAGTACTTTATATACTATCCGTGGCCGGCTAGATCACTGAATCGACAGTTACCCTCGGTGCTCTGAGTCGTGGAAGGATCAGAAATACCACTTGTGTAAGGCAGAGGCGGGAAAGACCCCCCTATCTTTGCGTATGTTTTCCCCATCAAGGTTCCTGGAGATATTAGATAGCGGTGCCAAAGTCAGAGTAAAAGCCACAAAAGAGATCTCCTCAGTAGTATAATACTTGACGCTTAGCCATTATTGAGGGCAATCAGTACGCTATAAACTTCTGACAACAAATATCCAACTCTATCAGAAGAGCACCCCTGAAGAGGATCTTACGAGAACGTTTGTGGAATCTATCAATTTTGCAGTGTCGCTTGGCTTCCGCTACCTATGGATTGATGTTCTATGCATAATTCAAGACTCGATAGCGGACTGGCAAGTGGAGTCCTCAAAGATAGGTGATATCTACGCTCATGGTGTGCTCAACAGAGCGGCAACAGATTCGCCTGACGGAACTTACGGATTATACCCTTTTGCCTTCGCAACTCTCGCCTTGCATCATCAACTTCGAAAATGATAAATGTGGGATAATCTATTATTTGACTCACAATTATGGTTGAATCAATGAATCTGCTTTAGGATCGCACGCATGGGTAGTTCAGGAATTGTTACCGTCACGCAGAACTGTTCATTTCGCTGCTGATCAGGTCTTCTGGGAGTGTTGCCATCACCACGCTGCGGAGGTCATGGTACACTCGAGATTCTTAAAGAATGACATGTTTTATGTCCACAAGTCCAAGATGCTCGAAACCTCCAGAAGTTCCGATGGTTCGATGCGGAGCATCTGGAGAAAATTAGTACTTTACTATATAAGGTGTCAACTCTCCGTTCGCACTGGCAAACTGCCAGCCATAGCAGGGCTTGCTTCACGCCTCGCGACACAGTAGGGTATCCCCCCTGAGTATTACCTCGCTGGGTTATGGAGAGGTGATTTAGTCATCGATATCTTGTGGAGGGTAACTGGGAATGAAAGCTCGTCACACCAAGAGCGAGCACCATCTTGGTCTTGGGCTCGAACTGATGGTGAATACTGTTAAAGGAAAAATTCGAAGGCAGATGTTGTGTGTTTATTCTTTCAGCAATAATACACCCAACCCAAGGTCTATTCGGCATGGCACCGACGAGAAGTATCTTTCTGCGAGCCCCACTGTGCAAATTTAAGATAGGTCCCAGAAAAGCGGACGCGGTGAGTTCCGCATATACGAGAACAGCAAGCATTGAGGATGATATATTTCGGACCCCACGTTATATAATAGAACGAGATGATAACCAGTCAGACATGAAGTCTTTCTATGGTAAGCAGCTGTATGTTGTGTTATGGGACATAGATTTTCTGGAAAGTCCCTAGAGGGTCTGTGCGGGATTAGTCTTAGAACGGACGAAGCATAAGAGGGGCCAATTCGAAAGGGCTGGGCTCATTAAAACCAGAGACGTAGAGCCTTAAAGATTGCTAGCGATTTTGAAACCCCCTGAGTTATTGGATGATACAGATTACCTTGATTTTGACTATGATAAAGGATTCACGATAGGGCTTGTGTAGACTAGACTATCTTTGTTATCAGTTAAGTAGAGGAGAGTAGAGAGCACAGCAATATTACTTGTTTCCTTTCTTCGATGTACATGGTAGAAGCAAATATAATATAAATAAAAACGACGAGACATCAAACCAAATATATTTCCTGATCCGTATTTTTTTGTTTTCTTTTACAAAAAGAGCTTCTACTCTAGAGAAAAACAACATGGTAGTACATTGTGAATACAAATCGACGCTAAGTAAGATATAAAATGGTTACCTAGTTCTGTTGCACTTCGCAATTTAGGCTACTCGTCCAGAGATGGTCAGAGCACAAAGGGGTGCCATGAGATGTAAGCGAGACATCCTAAAGAGGCAACTGCTTCACGAATATAAACGCCGTTGATAAGACAAATTTGACACGTACAAGTGCGCCGAAATATGCCCGTAATCATGCAGAATATGAACAACTACATACCTCGCTATACGAGGCCAAAGCAAACAAACAGATACACGCCCCCAAAATCAAGGCACGTTAAATTCTCCCGCGCCGTTCCCTTTCATTTCTCCCCGCTTCTCGAAGCAGAAGAAAAAGCAAAATCGTTAGTGGAAAGAAATAGAGCCCATATTAAAAACTTACAAGTTACTAAAAGTCTCGGCGAAAATAGACGTCTACTACAGAGAAATAAAAAAGAAAATCTTTCCTCAACCAGGAATCGAAACTGGATCTTCAGCCTGCAATCCTAAGGAACCCTGTCACAGAATAATTCTTGGCTCTCTTGCGTGGGCCGACAATCAGCAGGCGGATATCTTAACATTAGACTATCAAAGATGTGTTTGTTGGCGCGAGCTTATTTGCAGGAGGGAGAGGCTCGTTTGTAGATTCGTGGGGTCTCTAGGGAAGGCGATGAGGTATTTGCTCAGAAATTTATGATATCTTAGTATTATTGTCTCTGAAATATCTACAAGTTTTTCTCTTCACCTCTCCTTAGATCGGCAGAGTAGCATTAGCAAGAATACAAGTCCCCAGCACAGCTCCCTCGATCCTCGCCGTAGCATTCATCACCAAGCCCCCCAACCCACTCGTCCCACACTTCAACCCCAACACAAAGCTCTGAGCTACTACATCAGCGAGATAAGGATCCGTATGCGTATGATCGATGCGGAAATTCGTGTCTACAATTGTTTTGCCGAGGAGGTGCTCTGCTTGGGCGGAGTATTCGCCGTGGGGGACGTGGTAGACGCCTGCTGAGGGGCCGCCGAGTTCGGTTGCTGCTAGTCTGGGGAGGAGGTTAGATTTTGGGAGATGGAGGAGAGCTGGGCTTTGGGGAGGGGGAACGAACGAGGAATAGTAAGCGAATCTATCTGGGCTCCAGGAGAAATTCCCCGATTCCCACGGATTACTAGGCGTTGGCGTTGAGAGTATGACTTTTGCGCCTTTGCTTATGAATAGTTGGGCTGCTGCTTTGAGATAGGTGGGATATGTTTGGACGATTTCTGTTGCGTTGCTGTATTTACCTTAGTACAAGTTCATGAGATTTTGAAGGGAATAGGAAGGACTTACGCATAAACAGTAGGACAAGTCTCATTCCCTATCACGCACATCACATCAGTATCACCACTGCATTTTTTCCTTATAAAGAGTCGTCCTCATTCCCCTTCTATTTCTCCCTTCCCAATATCTAAGAAAACCAATCTATGAAAGTTCAAAACTTACCAGCGCCCGGACAGTCCCCTCTTCCATTATCTCCACTAGCAGGATAAACCGCACCCCCATCATTATGTCCAAACTCAATCACAACCCAATCCCCCTCCTTCACACTACTCGCTACATTCGCAAACCTTGCCTCTCTCGTGAAACTCCTGGCTGAGCGGCCAGCAAAAGCACTGTTGTTGACGATGGCAACGGAAGGAGAGAAGGAATATTGCAGGTATTGGCCCCAGCCTTCTGTGCCGTTGTGCCCGCCGCCGGGCGCCATGGTGGAGTCGCCGCAGAGGTGGATCGTTATTGGTGAGGAGGAGGTTTGTCGAGGCAATAGAGATGGCAGGACCGAAGACGCAGCTAATGGAAGAGAAAGCGCCACAGCGAGAAGAGTGGTGAGCGACATGTTGATTGCGTTGGAGGAACTAACACAGGGAGGAAGTGTGCAACAGCAACAACAATCAAATATCAATACAACAGGATCCAAGCTCTACTTAAAGAAAGTCATTCCAAATCCTAGTCAGCTCGTCTCCAAGACTTTGGAGAAATTCCGTCATGAGCTATAGACTTCCCCACACAACCCCGCGTGTCCCCAGGTACTATCTAGGAACAGATCACCATGTAATCAACGCCCCTAGAGAATGATAGAATAATTTTTAAAAAGAAGACAACTTTTCTAAAATGCAGGCACCGGAAACTTTTCTAGAATTGAGCCACCAATGCGAAAGCTTAGGATAAATTAGAGTTGCGGCTCTTCAGCGCCAAGTTCTGCCGCTCGGCATATTGGGGACCGAATGAGAGGACTACGTCCACTTGTCCGAGGCCTTTTAATTCAAAGAACGCAAAAGGAACAAAAGGGTAAAATAATTGAAGAAAATAGAAGTGAAGTGTCGAGTTGCTTCGAAAAGCTGAAAATAGTGATGATTTGAGGGAAAAGAGAGATGAAAACAGAAAGGAAATTCGAAAATAAGATCTAGATATTGACCTAAATTAGATGTACACAGATATCCATGAACCTCTTTCTATCTGTAATGCACGCATCCAAATCATGATGCATTGGTATCGTGAACTCCATTCTGAACCGAAAATGGCACTCCTTTTATGACCTCCCCGCGGATCACAACGTCCTCGCCTTATCCAGCAACAAATCTTCTTCCCGATTAAGAAGTTTTTCGTTCGCTGCAACCTCATCCTCATCCTCCACCTTCCCCTCCATCTCCAACTCATCCCCCGTAGTAACCGCATCTGTATCATCACCCGTCTCCTCCGTGCCCGTGCCTGTCGCCTCATCATTTCTCCTCAACAAAGACCTAATATCATCTTCACTCAAAATACTTTCAATACTTCCTCTCCTCACCCCAAGTCTCGTTTCCCTTCTTCCCCGCTCAACCATTCGTTCAATCTTCATTCTATTCCCGAGGAATTTGAGTTTGGGGAAAGCGCTTTGTTGGCCTACGTGGAGCATGCGAGCGAGTTGTTTGGGGTTGGGGTCGGAGAGGATACGCCAGAAATCACTGATGACGGAGCGTGGCCAGATGGTGATCGTGCCGGAGAATTGCTGGAGCCAAATTTCGGACCAATCTTGTCCCAGTGGCCTGGGGAGTAATTCTAAGTGTCGGAGGACTTTAAGCCATTTATTCAGATCAAGCTTGAGGTATTGCTCCGTTGCGGAGCCTAGGAATCCTCCTCTCCAGCCGCGCCCTTTGCGGTGAGTTACTGGTTGACCGACTGATCCGCGAGACGAGAAGAAGAAGAGGTTGATGTGCGGGTTTACTTGGGAGACGATGCTGAAGTTAACGTTGAAGTGGAGGTTGAGTGCTTTGAGTGGGATATCGGTGCGGAGGGAGCCGTCTTTCCATTTGTGTCCGAAGGAGTAGGGTGTTAGTGTTCCATCGGGATTCTTCATCATGAGAACCACTGGATTCAAGATGCCTGGTACTGCTGCTGAGGCGAGGACTGCGGACCAGATTACGCAGTCTGGACTGGTGAGGTAGTTTGTGAGAATACTATGGAATCATTAGCAAGGCTTCTCTTAATCGAGGCAAAGAACACATACGTAGGAGAATGCGGATCAGCAGGGACGCAAGAGACGTTCAATATTCGCCCCGTCCTCTCATAAGCTTCCCTAAAAGTCATACTTCCCCTCGTAAACCAACTACACTTCTTCGCCCACTCCAAAGAATCAAATCTCGCTCCAGTCTTCCACCATCTCGGGCCCCATACTGTAATCGGTTCCGAGCAGGCATTTATTCTTCCTGCTAATGCTGGAACGAGAAGCTTCTTTAGTTCGTCGTTCGTCCGTGTTGCAACTAAGGCGGCTATGAGAGCTCCTCCTGAGGTACCTGTGATGACTTCTGGGAGTAAATCTGCGTCGAGGAGAGCTTTGACAACGCCAAAGTGGTAGTATGCAAATGAGGCTCCGCCAGATAGACATAGAGCTGTTCGGCCGAAATTTGTGTGCATCCGCTTGAATAATTGTCGTTTCTCCTCTGGTGTAAGCTGATCCGTCTCAACCAATATCTTGACGCTCTTCTCAACTACCAGACGTCAGTAATTGCCTCAATAGTATTGGTATCCATGAAAACATACCTTCATCAATAAACTCCTGCACCAAATTCTTCGTCCCATAATACGTCTGAGAATACAGCCTACTATTCTCCACTCCCACAAAATTATTCTTCACACAAGCCTCAACCAACGCCTTCAGCTCCCCCACCGCATTCCCTCCGCCCCCACTCCCATTCCCACTCCCATTCATCGTTGCTTTATTGCCCTCAACCCTCCTCCTACATCTCCTCATCTGCTCCACCACCCGCCTAACAGTCTTACAATCATAATACGCAAACCCATCCTCCTCCTTCCACCCATCATTCCCCAAGAACCGATCCAACTCCTTCGCATCTTTCACCCACTCCTCATAGCTCTCCGCCCTATACAACTTCCTCCGCAATTTCTCCCTTGTGCCCCTCCATGCGATAAAATGCTCATATAACCAGATGTACAAACGAATTAAAAGATAGCTTGCGCCGAGGCCGAACACCCAGAGGGAAACGGTGAGGAGGAATGGGTATTTGAGGAGTGTGTAGAGGTACCCTTCTCGAGTTTCGTCTGTGGAGCGGAGCTTCTTCCTACTCCTCCCCTTGACTTTCTCCCCTCTCCCCTTCCAACCTCCCCGTTTATGTTTATGCGCCGAAGGGTTAACAGGCGCCCAGTCATTCTGCGCTGTAATGAATAGGCTTTCTCGAGATTTCGAGTTGGGGGTTTCTCCAAGAAGAGCTGCGCTTCCCCTCCGTTCGCTCCCTCTACGTTCGCTTCCTGCTAAGCTGGCCGCTGTGGAGAGGAGGTCGTCTGTGGACGGTGAAGGCTCTGGCGCGGAGAGGGCACTCGCAAACGCTTTAAGATGTTCCTCGGACAAGAACTCGCGGTCGAAATCAGGGAGGAGGGAGGTGTCGAAACCCTGCTGGCTATGCGGTTCAGGACCGTTTGTGATATCCGCCATATTGTTTGCGTTTTGATATTAAGAAGGAAGATGGAAAAGTGGTATTATGACAAAGGTAGACATTGTATTGTTGGTTTGGTTTGGAGCTGAGGAAGGGAATGGGAATGGTATGGGGTGTGTTAATATCTTGTTGGGAGACGGTACGAGGCAGAGCGCGGATTCTTAGATCCTCGGCCTCCCACTACCTGATGTGACGTATCGTGATCGATGGCACATGCGCAACACCCGTGGGAGATCTTGAGTCATTTTTAAACATTTTGTTCTGTTTCAATGTTTCATAATCTTTACAATTCCCATCACACTTTTTATTGGTTATGCTAGAAGATAGGAAACAATGTTTGGTGGGGTCTAGTTCTCAGTTTTGATTTCCAGCCTTTCGTGGCAAGGCTACCTGTTAGTTGCATGAGGCGGAAAAAGAAACCACGATGATTGGAAACAGGGTCAAGGATGCATCATTAATTCGCTAGGAGAGAGAAATTCTTGATCGCAATACTATGCAGGAATACAAACATTCTTTCTGGCCTCACCATCCAGGTGATTATGGAAATTTACTCCTCCATAAGACCTGAAAAGCCTGCCAAAAGCACTCGCGAGAAAACGACCTGTGTAAAAAACTCCGCCCATCGTGACA